ATCCATCCATTCGTTTTCTGCCACTTTTTCAGCTGGGTAGTAGAGACAGCAAAGTAGACCAGATGTCTCTCTCTCCAACAATGTTTTCCAGCTCCTCCTGGGGGATCTCAATGTGTCCCCAGGTCAGATGAGATATACAATATAATCTGTCCAGCATGTTCTGGGTCGTCCCTGGGGTCTACCAGTTGGCATCCCTATCAGATGCCTGAACCACCTCAACTGGGCTCTACAAAGGTTTCAACCAACTCTACTCAGAGCTCTCTCTGGATGTCTGAGCACCTTACCCTATCCCTGAGGCTGAAACTCATGTTATTCATTTGCATCCACAATCTCATTCTTTCAGTCACTACCCAAAGCTCATGACCGTAGGTGAGGGATGGAACATAGACCGACTGGTAAATCAAAAGCTTTGCCCTCTGGCTCAGATCCCTATTCATCACAATGGTCTGGTTCAATGCTAACATTATTGCTGACACTGCACCAATCTGCATGTCAATCTCAGGCTCTAACTACCCTCACTTGTGAACATGACCTTGAAATACTTAAAATCCATTATCTGGGGCAACTAACCCCCAACCTGTGGGGCGCAATCCACCATTTTCTAGCAGGCCATGGACTCACACTTGACAGTTCTGGTTCACATTGGTGGAAAATCATCCCAGCACATGCTCACGGCCTAATGGAACCGACAGAACCACATCATCTGCAAAAAACAGAGATGCAATTCTGAGGTCCCCAAACCTGACACTCTTCTTCTCCCCAACTGCTTTAGATCCTGTCCATGAAAATCAGAAACAGTCGGTGACAACCCTGGCAGAGGCCCACACAAACCGGAAATATGTTTGACTTCCTTCTGAGAGTACAGTTATACAAGGACCAGATGGCTTGTACCAATAGCCCTGATATCCCATACTCCCACTATACAGCCTTCAGTCCCACTGTTTAAAAATGGGAACCACTATCCGAGTCTTCCAGTCTACAGGCACTGTCCCATCAATGCATGAGAAATTCTTCTGGAGGTGGGAGTTAAAGACCTTGCAGACAGGGGTCTCAACCATGCCTTCACAGTTCACCCTCACAACACATTTGGGTTTACCAGGTCTGTCTGGCAGTTTCTACCGCCATCTGATCCAACTCAGTACCAGATGGTGGTCAGTTGAAAGCACTGTTCATCCCTTCACCCACGTGTCCAGGACATATGGCTGCAGATCTGATGCTACAACCACAAAGTTGATCATTGATCTTTGTCCTAAGGTGCTCTGGTACACTTACGAACCACCCTAAGCTCAAATGGTGTTTGTTGTGGCTAATTCATGACTATCTCATGAGTCCACTACTAGAGCACCTCTTGGGTTCCCAATTACCTCCCTCTAGGCTTTTCCATTGTTGCCCACATAAGGTGTGAAGTCCCCTGATAAAAATATAGAGTCCCCAGGTTGTGCCCTTTCTGGGACCCCATCCAAGACTCCAAGAAAGCTAGATACTCTGAACTTCTGTTCAGTGCATATGCACAAACAACAGTCAGAGCCTTCCTCTCAGTGACCCTTTCGCCCTGCAGTTGCCAACACAACAGTGCTCAGCTGGGGCTTGTGGGTAAACACATTATACATATTATTATCATGTAACTTCATGACTTTAGGTAATTTCCAGATTCAAGGTGTTATCCTGGAACTATAAGTAAACAACCTAATACATGAGATTGAAAGTAACCCTGGAAACAAATTTCCATTTTTCTTAAGACTTTAAGGACATCTCCTCCATGCTGGTTTAAAATTAAAGATTGGAAGTTCATTTTTGACTTTTTAAAATACCAGCTGACAAAATAATCGGTTGTCGGATTCTCACCTTTATAATGTGTGTCATAACCTTATTCCAAGAAGTGGATCCAAAGAGAAAAGCACAGAAGAAACACAAATATATGTGAAATAACCTAAACCGGTCTAACTTCGGCAGGTAGTGTGTCTGTGTAAGATCAGATTGCTTTTAATAAAAAAAAGCTGACTCAGAAAATAAATGTTGTATGGCCTTTAAACCCAAAGTTGAGGTAAAAATTTGGAATTCCTGAGTGCAGTGTTCAGTTCAGAGAGCATATTTTCTGTAAAGCAAGCTGTTTTGACCTTGCATTTTTGATCTTTTGCTACCTTAGTCATATGGAGTTTGGCCGTTGGTTCTTTTATCCAATTTGTTATGACAGCAGGTTAGCAGTGGTCAGAGTACAACTTTTAGCCCCTCCTGCTCGGGGCAAGTGGCAGCACTTTCATCAGAATTAGTTCAATTTTTCTTTGGGAGGTACTGGGCTACACAACCTGGAGTTGCAGCTTTTAACAAGGTGTATGTGCTGGCAACTACTGTATGTGTGTTCCAGAAGTTGCTGATTTAGTCTTATCTTTGTTTCTTTGGTGATTAACTTCACACTCATGAGGTTTCTTCAAAGCTTTTCACTGATAAGTATCTTGGATCAGAACTGAAATGATAAAATGAGTTGTTTTCTGCCATCAACGCTCTCATATTGGCTGCAGACATACTTTGTATTCCAGTTCCAGCTGTCATAAATGCAACATTATGTTAAATAGATAGTGGTTGACCATTTAAATTTCTTTTTCTATATCAAAACCACACATAGGCGACACAACCACACAGGAGGAAGATAGCTTCATTTCAGCATCACATTTCAGCTTACCTCTCTCTTCAATTTGAGTATTCAAATGAAGGATGCCATGCACTCCTCTCCCTTTGAAAACACAGTATTCAGAGTAAAATTTGCACTGTTTTGCCAAATGTCACACAAACAAGACACGAGGAAGGCCAGTTTTAATTCATAGTGTGCTTCTCTGTTAAGCTGAATGTGGAATTGCAGGAGAAAGAATGCACAAAAGTATTTATAGGATACTTCACATGGAAATCTTCCTCTAAACACCTTGGATTTTCTGGTGGTAGAATAACTTTGCATATGAGTCAAAGCACTGCCAAGTGCAATATCAGCTCAAAGAGCTGTGCCTTGGGCAAATGTTCTCCAAACACATGGGGAAAGAATGCATATAGGATGCCAGCTTGGTCTTTATTGATTGAACATCTGTATTCTTTGGTGCCTTGAGTTTCACTGCAGTTCGGCTTCCCATGCTGCCTTTGACATATCTATTTGTTCCTCTTGTAATGTACAGTATGTGTTAGGTTTTTACATGAAAGTAGAAATGCATAGTAGCTTAAAAGCTGTAAGAGGGAGATAGGGAAGAAGAAAAGTCTCCCTCTTTTACAGCATTTAAAGCTTTATTAGTATTCTTCATTTCTGCTCCACATACCTGCTGCCAGGACTAACATTGTCTTATCATCTTAAAGCTGTCAGATGCAATCACTTACGAACACATTCAGGCATATTATATTGAATGAAGCACTGGGGATTCATATAAATACAGCATGTAAGCTGCACTCGTGGTCGAGGTCAGCCATATCAGCTGTCAGAGGGAAAGAGAAGAACATGAAGAGGCAACAAAGGCTGAAAGTCTTTTGTTCATGCAGCTTCACCGTTTTTATGACACTTTTTTGCTGCCACTTTGCTTTGTCTCTCATTTTGAAACACATTCTCCATGTGAGCAATGAGGTTATTTCTCGCACCACCTTGTACTTTATTCATTTCAATGTATATGTCTGTCATGATGGGGCTATTAAGGAAAACATCTGTCAGCTGTGTAAGTAGGAGCACATTTCCGTCCCAGGTGACAATCATAGTTTCAAATGATACCAGGGTTTTGTCAGGATGTTTTTTTTTTTCTGTCTTCTCACTGGCTTTCTCTCTTTTTCTCATCCTTTTTTCTTTCTTTCTTCATCAATTCACTTGCACCTCGGTTCAGGCTGTGTCGGCATGGTCGAGGGATTTCTTACATTGCCAAAGCACAGAGTGACATAAAGAATTAAATTTGCTGTCTCTCTCTCTCTTTGTCTTTTTCTATCGCTCTTTCTCTGTGTCTCTCTCTTCTGCTCTTTCTTTATTCCACTTAGTTGGCTTTAGGCGAATTATGCAAAAGTACGGTGTTGCTATGTAATGTGTAGAAAAGAAATTTGCCTCTGCATTTGTATATCCTCTACCTAAGGGCTGCTATAATGATTACTTTCATTATAAATTAATCTGTTTATTTATTTATTTTTTTGACTGATCAATTAATCTTTTAGTTTATACAATGTACAAATTATGGAGAAAAATGACTATTAAAATTCCCAAAAGCCTAAGGTGTTGTTTTTAAATGACTAGTTTAGTTTAACCAAGAGTTCAAATCCAAAGATGTTCAATTTATAATGCAAATCTTTAAATTACATAATCGTAACCAGCATTCCTGCCACATTACTGACTTGAAAGGGAAATTTAAAATTTTCTTTACATCTCCCTTGATTCACTTGTTACCTTATTATTCAGATCTCCTTAAAGTTCCTCTCCAGACGTGTTAAACTATGTAGAAATACTTCTGCTATGATTAATATTTTGTATATTTTTCCCAGCTAAAAAATGAAAAAAATCAAAAACTTGGTCTGGAAGCACATCTACACTTACTTCCTCACTGAGAAATGATGAGTCTATTGTGACTAAAATCGACAACCAGCGGACATATCGGGGCAGTTAGCGTAGTTAACATCTTTTATTTGTTTATGTTGTTTATGTTAGCTTGGAACTGGCAGTGGCCAACACAGTGTTAGTGGTTGTGCAAATGCAAACTCTCTCTCTCTGTACAGACAAGGTTTCGGGTTTATTTTTGCCCCTCATTCCCGTGAGTTGGCAGGATTGGTTCTTTAGGTTATGTAGCTTATGAAACCCTGGTTGTCTGTATCAGTTTCTGTGAGACTGTCATTGGTTCACTGCAGTTCCAAGGAAGAAATACGCAATCATAGCACTGACTGCTTATTTAAAAACTTGATTTTTCAGAGAATCTTATTAACAAACTGCACTATGAGTATAATGCATATACTAATCGCCCCTTTTGAATTCATTGTTGTTGTTTGTTTATGTGCAGGGAGTTTGGGAGATGGAAGGTGAACAACTTGGCTGTGGAAAGGAGAGATTTCTTGGAGTCTCCGTTACCTCTGACACCTGAGTTCATCAGGAACATCCGACTCCTGGGCCGCAGGCCCACCACCCAGATGATCACTGACAACCTGATCAGGAAGTATGGGACTCACTTCCTGTTGTCAGCTACACTGGGAGGTAAACAAGGAATTAAAAGTTATTTTATGTACGTCGGTTGATTGCATTGTTTAGATATCTTTATGGTATAAATAAACTAATGCATCTTTGTTTTTGCTTGTTCACTAAGCCCCACACACCTTTACTTTTTCATTTCAACCTTTGCATTCAAGCTCAGTTTGTATCCAATTTAGAAATTCATTGGTTTTTGGAACAACAGATCCTTGACTTCACACAGATGTAGACAAAAGCAGGCTTTGTATTTTTTTTAGCAAGCAACCATCATTTTTTTGCCGGGTGAAATGACATCTGTCACTGGCAGACTTTATCATCTGTAACCAGTCAGATAATTAGAATGAATTCTGTGAGTTTGACGGAAACTGTGTCTTCGGTTGATTTTATAAAACGTTTCAACTCACTTGACAGAAAATGAAAACCTGAAAAAGGTCTACATAGGTGATATAGCAATTATGCTGAAAGAGAATAAAGCTAAAGCTTATATGGAAAGTAGATGATCCATGTAGAATACATTGAAATGTGGGAGCAGTATTCTTCTTTTATTCCACGATAGAGTTAGTTATCCCAAGTATTATAGTAAAGTATGAAGAAGATATGCTATTAGGAATTGCATCTGTCCCCAATGATATAGGCTTTACGTTGATAAAAGCTTTTAGACTCTACTCTCCCAGGTGTCATGTGGAAAACAGATGGACATGGCACAATAACTTGGTCATAGTAAATAAATGAATAACAAATCACAGCAGAATAATACACCACTGGCAGCACAGAAATCACTCCTCCGAGATGTATAAATACACGTAAAAGCCTGTGTACTGTAAACCCGCCTCTCCCGCTCCCAGTCACACTCACCCAATTTTTGGTTCTGTGCAGTGTGATGAATGGACAAGCATTAATGGTCCTCTGAGTGGAGAAAAAAAAAGAAGAAGACGAAAAAAAAAAAACTAATTTAGGATGCCAGAGAGGCCCGGGCAGGTCTTGCAAAGCAGATTTGCTTTTACAGAGCAACACTTGTCAATTACTTTAGACCTGACTCCTAGGCTAGAAAAGGTTGCTGTTGTAAGTGGCTGCATATAATGCAACCCTGCTACCAGCTGCCTGAGCTGATGCAGCCCTGCACTCTGGCTCCCGGCCAGTACTTAGTGGTATGAGGAGAGGAGAATGAGGAGTTTGCCTTGGATTGTTGCCAGAGATATGCCTCTGTGCTTTTGAATGGATTGCCTCTGTGTTCAGAAACATATGGACTTAATGAAATTAATAAATAGATTGCGATATTAAGAGGGTGCCCTTCAGTGACTGAGGAAGAAAGGCAGTGGGCAGAAAAATGGCCCTGAAGCATTAACACTGCATTATGATGAGAAATATGATGTGCAGTGTCTTGGAGACTCGCACGGCAAAGAAAGTGTCCTGCTGCACCATGTATGCCCCACCCCCCACCCCACCCCCCCCAGACTCATGAGGTGCTGATTGCTATGATCAGTGGCTGCTGATACAGGGTGATGTGGCTTATCCTAATTGAGGTCAACTATCTCCGGTATCGCTGCGCTCTTTCTGCCTGGAGTTCAGCGGATGTGTCTCTTGGAGCAGAGCAGGTGGCAGGTTTTAAAATTATGGCAACATGTAGATTAATTGGAAAGTAAATTCAAAACACAAAATGTGCTACCGTGAAAAAGAGTGCCAAATACAGACACTCAGAATTATTAATTAACACTCATTAACAGCAAATCCAAGTGAAAAGATCTGACACGAGTTGGCACGCCTTTTGACTGACAAGTGATTTGTGGGAAGTGCGGTGCATAAACACCTCAGCAATGAGTGCTTAGCACTGACAACGGAGACAAACACCAAAAAAAAAAAAAATCACTTAAAACACTTAAGATATTAACGCTTTGATTTTATGTCAGAGAAGTGCGGCTCAGCTCAGCCTTCGAGAGGCTGAAAGTGAGATTATACTTGGAAGCCCCTCAATGGTGGCAGATAGTGTGACCACACTTAAAAAAAATTTTAATTTTCAAAAATTAATTAAATGTTATGTCCCCCTGCAGGAGAAGAGGCCTTAACGATATTTGTGGACAAGAGGAAACTGAGCAAGAAAGCAGAGGTGAGCGATTACTCGGGCAACTCCTCCACCGTGACTCTGGAAGCTCTGCACCAGCTGGCCGCCTCCTACTTCATCGACAGGGAGAGCACCCTGCACAAGCTGCACCACATCCAGATCGCCTCCACTGCCATCAAGGTACCACCTTTGCATCTCTGCTGTTGAGTTCCTGGGGGGCACATTCACACACTGATGCACTGATTTTTAAAGTTTCTATCCACTTTGATCTTCCACAACTCATCGATCAAGTCAACCGGATTTCATCATGAGAATAAAGTCAAAGGCTGGTCGTCCTGGCTGATTAGTGTGTCTCCCAATTCTTTTACCTTTGTTTCCATCTTTAGTGCAAAACAACTGCTTCCCTGTGTTGCTATACTTCCTTTGAAAATGATTTTGTTTCGCTAATACCGAGCCAATCGTATCATTTATTTATAAGAGAGGCAGGTAAATCTACAGTAACCACCAGAGACAAATTGGCAATTCACTTTGAAAATAGTTGCCAGTTTACAATTTTGACAGGCTTTAAATTAGCAAAGCAGCTAAGCCGGGCAAAGTTGGGACGCAATGGAGCAAATTATACCGTATTTGTCCGAATAAAACTGGCATTTCATGACTAACATTAACATATCTTCTCCACCACGTCTCAAGAACGGCACAGAGGCTGAGCGCTCTGTTCTAACCAGGCCTGGAATTAACAAACATAAGACCTTGTGCTCCTGTTTCTTTGCATCTCACTGGCTCTGATTGTAAACATGAGCATGCAAACAGTAACGGTACATGGTTTCTGGGTTTTAAGATTTAAGATTTACCTCTTGCTGCCATCTGGAGACGCTCACATGGGAATCTGCCCAGAGAAGCTTCTTATGAAAGCCTCCTTTGAATGAAAGAAAACCACAATTACCGTAGAGCTGGAAGCAATATGATGCGATATTCTGTCCAACACTATCTGTATCCTATATTAAAGGAGAAACATTTAAATGCATGATGCCTTTGGCACTGTCAATGCGTGTTAATAGAAGAGGATTCATCTGTATCCATAACAAATGCAATCATTTTCATGATTTATTTAACATTTGTAGATGGACTGCACTTATATAGTGCTTTTTTAGTCTTACCAACCACTCAAAGCACTTCACACATACTTGCCCAAGGTCGCTTTGAGACGCAGTCTGTAGGAGGCGGGGGTCGAGCCACTGACCTTCCGATTAGCAGAAGGTCTACCTCCTGAGCCACAGCTGCCCCCTGTACAATATATCATAATAAAGTGCTGCAGGAATGAGTCCTAAAACCTGCAAATTAGTTGCAACACCTCCTGTTCCCCCGTCCTGAAATCAATGGGTTTTTTGAATGGGTTTTTGGTTAGATGGCTGAAATAAGGTCTGTGGTTAACACAAGGACTAGACCTTTTCATGTTTGTTGTACGTCGCTTGAAAAAGGCCGGTCGCTAACAAGAGGCTAAATGAGACTACAGAGGTTGTCGGGGACGTTAAACGTCATCACACTGAACATGGAAACCGATCTACTCACCATGCAGTGCCTCTTTACAGCCTCACCGTGTTTGTACTCGCGCTCTTACAAACTGTTACTAACTGTGTAAGAGGAAAGGCTTTTGTGGAAGACGTAAGAGTTAAATCAAACTACAAGTTGGCGGTTTAGTGGTGGTGACAGTGAAGTCATACGACCATGGTGAAGTTTGTTTATAGTTTAATATTAACCTTTTTACCTCTGGTGATTGTAGTCAGGCTTCAAAAATCGTAGAAGCGGTGTTGATTTGTGAAGATTATCCTGCTGACCAAAACATGTCAGTGTCAGAAACTTTTGTTTGTCACAGAGCTTATTTTCTGCAGTAATCGAGAAGTCCATGTAAAATCCCATTGAGCTTTTTGGCGAGGTAACCGGGGCGACGCTAACATCCTGTTTGGTCATCTCCGCAGCGCTCTATGATACTTGGAGATCAAGATTCAAGACAACTTAATTACCATTTTCTGACAACAAAAAATATAGTTACAAATCCAAGCAGGTGCCGAGTCATCAAGAAATAATGAAAATGTCAAATATAGCAGAATGTATAATTATAACATTTAACAAGGAAGAAGCTGAGGAATCAAGATGTGATATGAATATCATTAAAAACGTTGTACTTGGTCTCCCTAACCTGGATGTACATTCCACTCTCTTCGCAGTTTTCAATTTTAATTTCAACTCCCAAGTTTAAATCTGTCTGTTGCTTCCAGGTGTCATTTGCAGTGAAAGAAAGTGCCTTTCCAAAAAGCCGTAGATGATGTGTGTGTTATTGCCGTTGTTAACGATTTCCTTGTTATAACACAATGATAACAGCGATGAAAATAAAGCGGGAGATGATGCTTTTTTATCAGCCTGCTTGTGATGAGATATGATCTTCAGCCGCCGTGAGCACACTGAGTCTGGAGGAAGCGCCGTGATGAGCACATATGGCGAGGGGAAGATAAATGAATCTGGTGAAAACACAGCTCATGACAGGTTTCTGCCTCCGGTTGTCACCTTCAGGTAGCAACGGGGTTAATAGGGTGACAGAAGGGAGGATGACCCTCCTTTCGGCCTTTTTCATTCCTCGGGAACACGGCGGTAGTCGGCTTGTGAAGTGTGGCTTTCTCTGCTCTAGCAGAACATGAATCAGACTCCCTCTACTTATATCAAAGCGCCGCACTCTCACTACATTGTGTTCAGGGAGGGTATTTCTTTTTGCAGCTAAGGTGGGCACATCTGCGGTGCAGAGGCAGATGCTTTTGTCTGTTTCATTTCTTTGGGAATTAGAATTTTTTTTTTACTTTTTTTTTGTAGCTATAGAGAGGAAAAGAAGAAGAGAGAGTGTGCTTTCATGCTCCAAAGGCAGTCATCTGGCGTAACTGACAGGTGGGAAGAGGAAAGAGGAGAGATTCACCTCCATCACTGGTAGAAAGTGAGTCAAAGAGAGCGACAGATTCCTCCACACTCGTTTCCACAGGGCGTTGCCCCCACCACCACCTCCACCCCTCCCACACACACACACACACACACACACACACACACACACAGTTAGCGGAAGACATACAACCGTCCTCTGCATGAATTTGAAATCAAACAAGTTGATGAATGAATGAGAGAGGGCTGGCGAGGCAAAGCCACTACCACCACCTACATCCCACATCCATGCTGTTCTCCATGCGAAGGGGAAATTTAAGCTCATTTTGGAGGGAAAAAAGCCTGTTACTGTTGTGGTGTGCCGGGGATTGTGCTGTGCGAAATCTGGTCCTTTTTAAAAGAAGTCACGGCACAGACCGGCTTGTTTGTTCAATGCAGTCCAGTTGTTCGAGAGCGGCAGGGATCATTTTTGTTTCCATTTGAGAATTTCCTTGACTGAATCGATGGCAATATCCCCACCTGACTTGGGCCGTATTTGCCGGGCTGTCTGCACACGCTGATGAACAAGGCGACAAGAGGCAGCAGGAATCTTTGCTTTCATATTTTCTTCTCAGGGACAGCCTCTCGATTTGTGTTGTCTTCTCATTATGGCAGAGAAATAGGACTTTTTTTTTCTTCTGTGTTCACCAACCGTCTCATGACCGGACTGATCAATTGTTGTCTGGACTACTGCGGAGTACATCGACGGCAAACTTGATCATCCATTATCACACTCTCACCTTTTCTGTTACAGCATATTTATGGCAGAAGAAGATTGCAGCCATTAGATTACTCATCTGCTGTATGTGGCAGGGATCACATTTGCCCGCTTTGTTGCTTCTCTTGCTCCCACCGCTGATCAAATGAGTCGGTGAAAGACTTTTAGCGCTGTGGCACCTGGAGAAAAAGTCATTATGAGGAAAGAAAACAAAAAAATCGCAGCAGGACTACTCTTATAAAGGCTTTATGAATGGTTTATAACTAGTTTATTAATTAGCTTGTTAACACTTTATGAAGCATTTATAAACTGTTATAACACATTAGATAAAACTAGGGGTAACAGTGACGTGTTGCTTGCCAAATAGTGAGCCCACATGTGTCTGTACTGTTAAGCCTCATGTCTCATTAGTTACTGAGATGTCTTTGTTTTCTCCATCATACCAGCATTTTAACCTCTTGCCTCATTAGTTTTTTTAAGATACTAGCATTTAACCACCATCAGAATCTTAATGGTCAAAAAAATGGTTAATTTGGTAGATCAAACTATGGAAAATCAAATTATCATATCAAATGACCAGATTCATCCTTTTAAGGCCTTGGCAGTATTGTTTACCTTGACACGCTCTCAGCAGCCGTCCTCATTATAATCAAGATCAAGAGATTAACACGGAGATGCTTTTGCTGGTTGGTCTCTTCTTTAGGACTTTAGCCTTCCAGGTAGAACACAGGTGGTAACCGTCCTTTACTTGGTGAACTGCTTCCCCATCCTTTGTCCCACTTTTCACATATCTGTGGCCTGTTGTTCACGGAGTTGATTCTCCCCCAATCCATCTTGATTTTTCATGGCATCTCAATTTTACAACCATTTATTTATCAGTTATTGTAGTAAGTAAGTGTAAAACTCACCATCATTTATTAGTGAATCGTAATAAAGCTCCCTTTTACCAATTATAAATACTTGTTACTCATTAATAAATGATGATGGGTTTTACACTTTACAATAAGGCTCCTTTTTACCAGGTATAAATGGTAGTAACTCTTTAGTAAGATTAATGAGTAGTAAGCATTAACTTGATCTTGCCAAATAGTGAGCCTATATCAATGTATGAAAACTGTGTTCTAACTTGTTTATAATTTATTTTATAATTGTTTATTTATGATTTATAAAGTGTTAACAACTGAATTAATAACGTAATTATAAATCCTTTATAAGGGTAGTCTTATTGTAAAGTGGTACCAAAAAATAAACAAAAGAAAGGCACAAATCTTCGATGGAGTTCCCTCATTCTTTCACCCAGCCAAGACCCAGGTGGCCAATAATGTCCTATTAAGTAGTTTTTGATATACCAGAATGTATCTATAGTGAATAGCAGCTGCTATGCAAAGCGGAAATTGAATGCTCTGCTCATCAGTCAATATTTTGCCATATGGCATATCATATGGCATATCAAATAATTCCTTATATGGATGCAGTATTCATGTGGTCTGAAGCCCAGAGTTGTATCTCATTTCCTCACTTTCATATCAGCATTAAAATCCCTCATGAGGGAAACAAGGGATAAAATGTGATATAAATATTATAGCTGTAGAATTACACTCAAATTATCTCCATTTTTCCTTTTCCTCCCATTCACAGAGGATATTTATTCCTCCTCTCACAAACCCGTTTCCACTGGATTAGGCTTTTGATTAAAGAGCCCCACACTGAGTTTTCACTTTCCCCCTGCAGCACCGGCCTCATATGAGTTTCCCCCCCATCAGCCCTTCAGCCCTCTATGACTGTGTTACTGATCGACTGACCCTCATTGTCTCGCCTCATCCATCTGTCACTTTGCAACCAACTGTCCTCTGACAAGCCTGACCAGGACAAATCGCAGAACAAAATATGGTGTCCTGCGACCACAAAGAGAGAAAAATGAGAATCAGTTAGGCGCTCCCCGCCGTTGTCACGGCAAAGAGAAAGGAAAGCACTGAAGTAAGATCTTCTCTTGCAAATGAAGTGAAAAAAAGGATGCTTTGCCGGAGCTGCTTTGTGGCAAAAGGTCAATCGAAACGTCTTCAATCAGTGACTAGACAAAAAAAAAAAAAAAAAGAAACACAGTGTAGCACTCTAGCAGAAAAATGAGTGCAAGAAAGCACTGTTACAGCAATTCAGAAGAATCTAAATAAGCTTACTCTAGTTTTCTCTTTCTTTCACATTCACAAGTAAAATTGATTGTGTAGAAACTACTTCATTTACAGAGAGAAGACAAAGCCCTTCATGTCACACAGGGCTCCTCTCTAACCAATTTTGAATCAAGTTAAGAAGTAAAAGTTAAAATATGTGTGTGTGTGTAAAGACATATAATTTAACCATGAGCCAACCAATGAGCTTTTTATTTGTTGTTGCCCAGGTGACGGAGACCCGCACAGGTCCTCTCGGATGCAGTAACTATGACAACCTTGACTCCGTTAGCTCTGTGCTGGTCCAGAGCCCTGAAAATAAAGTCCAGCTACAAGGTTAGTCTGTTTTTTTTTTTTTTTTCACTGCTTTTATTGTGATTGTCATTACGTGTTCAAGTGTATTATGCACGTGGGATAAACATCAGTAAGAGTTTGGCATACAAATATATAGATATATAGATTTTTTTTATAAGCTCAGGCAGTAGTATATGTTGCCACTACACTTTCACTGTCACTCCCCAACTTCACAATTTGATGAAGGTACTAAACCCAGCTCGGTTTTACAGGCTTGCAGGTGATCCTCCCAGACTACTTGAGAGAAAGTTTTGTGCAGGCTGCTCTCAGCTACATAGCCTGCAATGGAGAGGGCGAATTTGTCTGCAAGGACAACGACTGCTGGTGCAACTGTGACCCCAAGTTCCCAGAATGCAACTGCCCCTATATGGACATCCAAGCCATGGAGGAGAGCCTGGAGAGGATCACGGAGACGTGGGGGATGCTCTATAAAGAATTTGAGGAATCAGGTGAGAAATGAATGGAGTCTGCATCTTGCGTGCCTCATCCTAAATGCAGGAAAATCAAACTTTTAGGGTATAAATCATTAATGTGACAGGGAGCGAGGATGAATTCAAGTGTTTTATCTCCACCGTTAAATCTGAGTGAGGATGCTATATGTATGTTCCTCCCTACTCTATGATTTATAGGTGAACTATAATAGCAGGTTGTCAATCCTGGGTCCCGGTTCACGATCTGCATATAGAAAATTAACAACGCGACAGAACCGGATTAAAAAAAATAAACAGCTTTCGGCTCAGGTAGTTTACAATATGTATGGAGCAGATTAATCAGCTATAAAAACCCATTTATTGCCAGTCTGGGTTTTCATATCACCGGGGAGACAGAGTTTGAATGGAAGCTCTTAGCATAATGTTTGGTTATTATTGCTGTGCTCGGTCACCCTGCCTTGGTGGTTATTACTCAGGTGAAATCAAAATGGATGTCTTTTTTTTTTTTTTTTTTTTCCACTCCTCAGATTTGGCTGAAATATCCCTAAGTGCAATTACTTTCAAAGTTTATGTTTTAATAGCAGGGTGTGAAATGAGGGCAGGAGTGTGCCTAGAATGCAGATAACCTGCAAGTGTCATAAATGTGTCCTTCAGCGCGGGATATCACAGATTTCTAGCTCCCCGCCTTATCAGCAGAAGAACTGCTGACAGTAAAGAGATCAAGAGGTAGCGATTCCTGCCTCATGCCTGTGCTATTGTCATCCTTAAAGCAAATGGAAGCACACGAAAGGAAATGATAGAATCAGAAATGTGTCTCCCATTAAAATACTTATATATTGTTTTGGGCCTGACCCCTTGTTTAGCTGATTCCCACATTTCAGAAATTTACATACTCTTGCCCATATAAAATATAGTTTCCTAAGTGGTTGTTGCATTGAACATAATGTTCTTACTTCTTAATAATGTGCAGTGTAGGCGATGATGATAAAGGTAGTTCAGATAATGATGGTGAAAATGACGAATGTAACAAAAGTCATCACCGTCTATAAAACTGACTAGACTTATTATATGTAAATTTTGTTAAGTTGCGTTCTGACATTCTCCCAAATGTTTCCATCACTTTTCAAACCTAGAGAAATACATGATTTTAATCATGGTAACAGTTTAATTTGGTCGGATGTCAATGACCTCATAGCCCCTATGTGCGTGTGTCGGTGTTGTGGTTGCCTGCCAGTGTCACGGGTTTGGGGGGTAAGTAGGATCCAAATGCAGTCAACTTTTGGGAGATCGGTGCGCAGAGGTTTATTTAGTAAACGTGAACGTGACATGAACAAACCCCGAACGAAACTAAACAACCAACACAGACAAAGGGGAGCACAAAGACTAGATAGACACAGGAGGCGAGGTGATTGCACACAGGTGAAACACATTAGGGCGGGGCAGACAATCACCACACAGAAACAAGACCAAGACAAGAAGCAAAACACAGACACACAAGGAAACCAATACAAAATAAAACAGGAAGTGCAAAAAGTCCAAAATAAAACTAACAAAAAGTGTCTGCCATGGCAAAACATGACAGCCAGAAGCTCAAATTTGACCTTTATCCAGTTTTGAGCCACATTTTTAAAGAAGGATTGTAGTCATTTGATGTCTGATGAAAAAACCAAGCAAATGTTCAGCTCCCAGCCGCTTCAGGACATCCTGTCCTGTGTCCGCCGAAGAGCATCTGTGAAACACTGATTTTTAAAGTGAAACTGCTTTATTCAGTGTTTCTACCAGTTTTAAATTCCCCTCCATTTGTTATGGAGAGGAGAACACATTTGTGGATAATTATAATAATAAAAACTTACGGAACGTCTGCATCAGAATTTATCAGTGAAACAATCTAAATAAAGGTTATCAGCAGTCTCCCAGCTCCAAGTAAAAAACCCCTGAATGACTGACACTGAAGGAGTCCAAACTGGGAGAAGCATAGGACATACTGTAGGTGGTGAAGACAAAGACTCCCATGATCCCACGCTATTTCACAACCTCACCGTCTTTTTTATTGTTGATTATATTATATTATTATTGATTGAGAGACCTATAGAGGCAGACATTACATACTGTGCGTTTAAAATTCAACATTTGCACACTCAAATAGAAACATCTGCAAACACAATGGTGTGATGCAGCAAGCAGAGAGGTAAAAATAACTCTATGTTAATTAGAGCATAAAGGCTGTTCACCTTTAAGGAGATAATAATGGTCATGACAATATTAGTAGGAGCAGTAGTCATTCTGTATCAGTGATGCTATATTAAGCACTTAAGAAAATATTAAACATTATAATATCTTGGTCAAAATGATTATAATAACTTGGCATAGCTTACTCTGTCTTATACTGTTAGTGTTTGTCTAAATTAAGACCATGGTTCCCATAAAATATTGTGCTTCCTGCAGCAAAGTGGACCCTCTTTCATCTTTTACCCTCTTAAGTGACATCCTGGGTGCTTTTGCTTTCCTTTTTTGCTTTACTGAATATGATCAAAATGTCAGAAGTGACTTTTCAAAGCACCACCTGTCAGATACTGTGTCCCAATTCAGGTACTACAAAGTCTGCATCTCTAGCCCAAATAGATCAGTCTGCCAAGGTCTGTCCGAATTCAAAGGCTCCTTCAAATGTGACTGAGAGATGCAGCCCCCTGTTTCCTCTATATAGAGGATGCAACTGCTGCATCATCTTGACTTCTGTAGCACCGCACAATCCAATGTTCACTTGTCAATTGGTTAATGGAGCATTGAGATGATCCTTGTCAAGGTATTCGTTTTCAGGCGGTCATTATTGACATGAAATAGGCATTCAGGATGTAAACATAGGACAGAAAAATCAAAGTTAGACCACACAGACATGGTGCACTACTTGCAAGTTCTCCATAATGTGTTGAAGTAAAATATCACAACTCATAATGAACATTTTTATGTGGTCACTTCTGTTGTAACAGATGAATTCAAGGCGTTCTATGCGAGGCTGCCCCAGAACTACTTCCTCAACGTGTCAACCATCCAACACTTGTGGACCCTGGATAGCTTGTTCCAGTGGCGATATGAGCAGCTGGAGAACAGCATGCGGGTCCTCTCCAAACGAGCCCAGAGGGTCATCTTCAAGCTCTTCAGTCTGAGTAAAAGATGTCACCGACAGCCCCAAGTCCGCCTACCAAGAGAACGGTGAGTTTTGATTTGAATCTACGTACATCTGATACTTTTCTACAGTTTTATCATGTTTTCGTCAAAGATATGTTTGTTTCTTTTTATATTAAACCATTGGAGATGCACAGTTCTGGCCTTTTTTTCACCAAAGCTACTGTACATCGAGTCAGGGCCTGGAGTTTGCTCTATTAGCCTCGCAATAAACCTTTAGTTTATGCAAAGGATTTCCCTTTTTAAATGTTTCATATTTTACATTTTCCCAGTGTTGTATTTGAAGTGTTGATATCCATAAGAAGATATATATGTGGTTTTAAGAAACAAAGAACCATTTCAATGCAGTTTAATCTCCTCTCTCTCTGAGCCTCTCTTCTGATTGGCTGACTGAGTGATCAAATAGAAATATAACAAATTTCAGGCAAACACTCAGAGGAACCAAATCTGGCGAGGTTGGATGGTGGGTCCAGGTGGGCTGGGCTTGGTGCATGGCTGAGGGCGGTGACTGCTTTGTGGTGACATCACAAAGTCACAGATGTCCTGACGGCTGGTTTTAAGGCTCAGTTTCTGAATACAGGCTGTGTGCTTTTCTCTGTGTACTGACTCTTTGATACTTTCACAGTATTAATATAGAACTTTGACCTGCTTTATAATCAAACAACACATGGAAATCTCACTTTATACAATATGGTACCTTTAATGCCTTTTGTATAACGTTCGCCATCAAATATACTGATAAATGCTGGAATGCACTCATCGAAATGCCAGTAAAACAAGCTAGACAATTGTTAACAGACACTTCTTTTCACTCATGGATCAGATCAACATAACCTTGCTTTCTTTGCTGATGTTACAACAGTAAACTTCATCCAACACTTGTGGTCCCTGATTCCACAAGTCTCTTCTCCATTAAATCTTTATGAAGCTTCATGAAATTTTCACAAAATCATGAAATCTTAATTCCATTTCATTGGACTTCATCTCCATGAAATCCTCTGAAATCCCTCTGAAAATAGATTCTCTGCACTGGTTTCTGGCTACAAAGGAGGACATTCTATTTTTTATTTTTTTTGTTACAATTTTATATCATTCAGAGTCTTTTCAAATTATATATCAGATGAAATTTGTTCATTTGTAACCTAATTATAAATTTATACTACAAAGCACATTCACCCCCATCGTTTCATGTCTTAAACAAGGTTTTTTTTCTTTAAATCTTTTTCATAACCAATTTCAGACTAGTGTTGAAAGACTGAATAGCATAATTCCTTCTCATACCCACATACTTCTGTGGGTATTTCCCAAATGGCCAATGTGCCTGTTCCAAATATTTCTCATCGCATTTTCTGTTCTGCCACATCTTTTGTTAAAGTTTAGTTTAGGCAAACTGAACTATTTGCCCTTAAAAATTACTTTTTAGGAGCAGGGGTGGAAATAATGAGTTACATTTACTCTTGTTACTGTAATAAAGTATGTTTTTAAGTAATTTTAAAAATCAGTAATTTCACTTTTAGTGAAGTTTTTTTTTTTTAACTCGAGTTTACTTCACTACATTAATGTCAGAATAGTTAATCATTGAGGGTAAAGGGCTGTGAGGGTGCGTTTGCACCTGTGCTGGGTCTAAATATGCAATAAAGTGAAGTATAGTGTCATCATGCGCCCATGGTTGAGATTAATATTACATTGGCATAGATAGAAAAAGGTCCAATCCACCTTAATCAATTACTGATTGCACCACCCAGTGACCACGGTAAGTGTCCTAAAGTGTCCCAAATCAAACACACCTGCCATGGTATATGACCAACAGGTACATGCTGTTAGCAATGTCAGCAATGCTAAAATACTGGATCCTTCAGCTGTGATTTCTATGGTCACTTCTAGCATCGGTGAGCTGTGCACCACCTTTCTACTGTTTCTGACGATCCCTGCTGTGACTGCAGAGGTCATTCAGCTCAGTGTTTAATAACTTGGAGGAGCACAGTGAGACCAGGGGGGCTGAGTGGACTGGTGATGTTTGACAGTGGCAGTGAATGAGCAGTGAAGTTGGATTCAGAACAGATTGTGGAGGACTTTGTGATGCACAAAAAAAAAAAAAAAATCACAGAGTAAAGTTCAGACAGGTGTGTGCAACAAATGACTGATTTGTCTAACTCACTGTTCAGAGAACAGCATCAGCAACTACTGCGTTGCCTAGTAACATAGCATTTTGTCTGTGTTTGTTGGCTGCAGACATTATGGAGTTTATGTTCTTTTTACATCTCTGCCTTTTCTGCTGCTTTATTTGGCTGTTAAATACTGTATATAAGAAGTGGAAGGCATTTTGATTCATACAGCTTGATATTGCCAATTAAAGTCTATGAAAACATGCTGTGGTATTCAGATGTATTGTATGGATTATTTTGTCCCATTAATAGCAATGAAGGTAGTCTAAATAACATAAACACATCTCTGTACAATGCCATACAGCTCAACAACACCACACACTACATCCTTTAGGAGGAATCGTTGCAGGACTGTTACATTAGACGGCCTTTAGTTTCAGCTAGATGTACCTAATAAACTGCCAAATTAATGTAATAACTATTTATATAGCACTTTTCAAAACAAAGTTACAAACGTAAAAAACTAAACAAAGCAATAAAAGACACAGAGAAGAGAGGCAATGTGTACTGCATCAGTACGTGTGTTAAAACAATGACATCAATAGATCAACAAAAATAAAGTAAAAGCAAAAGTAAGGACCGAAGTTGAAATTTAAATCAAGAATTAAAAGCTGCTTTATAAGTGTGGTCTATATTTATAATCATCAGTCGTATGCACCAGCTGCAAAGTGCCTGACTGGAATTTATTGGTTGCTTTTGAACATGTTCCACTAATGTTACAATTGATATCATCTTCACACACTGTGGAAAATGCAGTCTTAGGATGTAGTTTACAGCTGCTGATAACACACCTAGATACAAATTCTCACCAACCTCTCATGTGTGTAGGTTAGCTCTGATGATGACAGGCTAAGTTATGAGCACAGTCTGAGGACTGGTCTGGAATTTAGCTCTGTTGATTATGAGCTATAGGTTTTTTTTTGACAAGATAAGGGAGCTAATGAGCCAACGTACCATTTAATTACCAGGCTGATAAATGAAAGAAAGCAATTTGGATACAGTGGGCAATTAAAAATAAACCCAGTCATACTAGACGAGGAGGTAGTTTAAGTAACTTAGTGTTACAGTAGCCAAAGCATACTAGAAGCCTGTGTTAGAAGTTACGTTACCGGTCGAGTAAAGTAGATGACAACCCAGCTGTTGCTTCACTTCTTTCAATTGTGTTGTTATTGGTCCAAGGGTTGTTCTCTGTTTGTCACTTTCTTTTTTTGGCCTTTTGACCCTCTACTGATCTTACAGTTTTCTTCTTATTTCTAACTCCGAGTTATTGGTTGGTGGTGGCACTTCCATTTCCCCTTGACAAATTTGTTGTGATCACCTTCCCTTTTGTTCTTTTCATTAGAAAACTATGAAGCTACCCACTACCGCCACACACTGAACCTGTGTTCAAACCTTGATGCTTTGGGACACACAACGGTAAATCTCCGGAGTGTTTTTAAGAGAAAAAATTTACATTTTGTACCTTAAAAACGGAAACGGATTAAAATCCACATTCGTATCGGATTCCTTCAGTGGTATCCTATCCTATGTCAGAGGGGCTGATCACTGAAGGTGATGAATCCAATCACCGTCAGTCACACTGTGTTAAGTTCGACTGAGCCACCACAGTAACGGCGGTTATGGTACACAGCACAACACATAAATCAGATGCCAGATTATTCTATTCAGTGCACTCTGTTCAATGTCCAGTCCATCTCTCTGTTTCTCTCTTTCTTTTCTCCGACTCGGTGTAACCCCCACCCACCACACACACACACACACACACACACACACACACCGTTCCTCCTTAATCCGTCTTGTTCTCTCCACCACATTGGCAAAACACACATTAATCACTGATCTTTGCAGCTGATATTACCACCCACTTGCCTGGAAAAAGGAGCGTCATCGCCCTCATCCAGGCAAGTGTTTATCTATGTTATTACCGTTGCGTCAACTGTGAAGCTTTGCCTTTGTTTTCGCTCTTCATCGAAATCTTCATACTCAGTGGAAGGAGACTGACAACAGGATGCCTGTCAGTTTGTCGGGGGGAGAGAAGCGGAACCTCTCAGGAAAAAAAAACAACAAAAAAAACCACTCACTCTCCCTTTACCATCCTGTTCATGGCACTTGAGGTAGATGAGAGATATATGATTCATTCTGCTTCCAGGGGGCTACTTTTCCTTCCGTGCTGACAATTATGAGCGAATAAGACAGTGGAAGCAGCAGCCAGCTTGGCTTTTAGTATTAGTAATGATAAAACTGCACAGTACACTTTGTGTTGGAACTTTTGCCATTAGGCATAATGATGCACATTGTCATTCAAGAGATGTATTCAGTGCTTCTGCTTTAATCAGCTTAGAAAACGCCTTTCTTATTCATAGGCTCCCCCCCCCCCCAAAAAAAAAGAAAGAAAAAAAAAGAGGTGTCAGATTTTTTTCACATACATCTAGGTCTTGAATGCTTCTCAGAAGGAGTCCTCTCAACTTTGTTTGAGAACTAAGAGTGTGCAATTAAGATTTGACTCTAAAATGTTGAATAGCTTTTTAATGAACTTGTCAAGGCATTCAGCCTAACACTGTGTCAGTCACATTATTTCCTACGGAGGAAAAGACGGCCAGGAGGTATGATTATTGCACATCATGATACTGAACTTCTTTTACATTATTCATGTTGATTCCTTTTGCTTGCTTGCTTTAGTATTGATTGACTGATTTGTATCAATAGCAGATATTAAAGATCCCAATTTGTATAAAGTGAGATTTCTATGTCTTCTTTGATTATAAAGCAGGTCTGGGTTCTTTATTAATACTGTGAAAGTATCAAAGCACTCAGTCCTCAGAGAAATGCACGCAGCCTGTATTCAGAAAAGGAGCCTTAAAACGAACCATCAGGACTGTAACTTTGTGATGTCACAAAAAAACAGGCACTGCTCTCAGCCATGCCCCAAGCCCAGCCCACCTGGACCCACCATCCAACCTTACAGTATTTGGTTTCTCTGAGTGTTTACCTGGAATCTGCTATAGTTTTATTTAATCACTCATAAAACAGTCAACCAATCAGAAGAGAGGCTCAGAGCCTCCTCTCTTCTGATTGGCTCACCAACCTGTTGTTAATAGAGCTCCAGAGAGACACCTGAGGCTACGTCCACCCTACTACGTTTTCATTTTAAAATGCCATTTTAAAACGAAAACAATCTCTGTTCACACTCACACACCTTAGAGAGCTTACATGCATAACCATTCACATACACTCACCATGCACAAGCTGGTGCAAACAGGAAGCAGATTGTCTCCTCTGCAGTTGATTAGTTGCACAAAATACTACAAATGAGGAACAGCAAAGGCAGTTGTAGCGTTAACATACAGAATTTAACTGCACAACAGCTGCTAGCAAAGACAACAAGGTCAGTAACGCTTGTAATTCGTTATTTATGGTGCTTTCACTACTGGTAGTCAAGGCTGATAAGACCCAATAAGGGAGCAACTGTGGGTGTCTATGTCATTGTTTCAAAATGTGTCTGTTTCCTTCCATTGAGACTACAATGCAACCCCCGAAGTTTTCAAACTAAGATGGGTCCGGGTCCAGGGCTTCCAAAAGTCTCTATTCTAGGTGCTTGAAAACTCCCCAGTAGTGTGGAGTCCAGGTGTAAACATAGCAAAAGAAATGAGTTTTAAAACTATAAGCTAGTAGTGTGGACGTAGCCTGAGAGAGGAGACGTAAAGCTACATTGAGATGGTTTGTGGCACTTGTCAACATCTCAAATATAACACCGGAAAAGTGTAGAATATGGCACCTTTAATGTACTGTATAGAGCAGAGGTCACTAATAGGCGGACCGTAGTCTGGATCCGGACCCAGACATAACCCAGACATGACCAGTGCCTTTACGGTACTCATGTGCCACTGCTCAGCCAATCATTTCGACTCGAGTCAGACCAATGTTCTGGACCTTTTGCTTGTGGAAATCTTTGAATTTTAATTAATTACCCCTGGTGTAGAGTGTGCTTCCAACTTTGAAGCAACTGTTTCGGGAAGGGCCTCCAACGTGACAATGCACAAAGCCATGTTATCCCAGTTTTGAAGTTGACAGATCTGCACAGATCTCTGACTTCAGCCCCAGCTAACAAGCTGGGGATGAACCGGAACTCTAATTGTGAACCAGGCCTGATCGCCAAATCGGCCCCTCACCTAATTAATGCTCTCGTGGCTGTATGTGAGCAAATCTATTTGGTTAGGTTTCAAAATCTTGTGGAAGGCTTCACAGGAGCGTATAGTGTGCAGTGCTGTCATAGTAGCAGATTAATACCAGTGGATTGAGACATGTTCAAAAATCATACGTAGTGTTATGTTTCTGTGTCCACATTATTTTGGCCATGTAGTGCACATCACTTCAGTATAAGTGTAATTATTTAAAGTAGACACTGGTCTTGTGTCAGGGAATCCACTGTGGGTTTAATTTGAAAGTCCACCAATCTTCAGCAAGTCAAAATCCCTGGCTTTAACTTTGTATTTGGCTGATTTAAATTTCAGTGTTTCTTGCTCCTTTAACACAGAAGTTAGAAGACACTGTGATTTACAGCAGAGGTTTGGAAGAAGACTTGCAGGGAGCAGAAAGGCTGTACATACTCACACCAGGGAACTAACAGCACAACTGCAGCCTTGTCTCGGCGACCGCTTTCCCTGCTGAAGCTGTCGGAGGTGAAATGCTTTGCCCACAGGTAGCGAGTGATGGAAAGAAAGAGCCCTTTCGGTTCATTTAACCATGACCGCTTTTTCCATTAGGGGGGTTTTTGATATTTAAATCTGTGATTTTCTGAACTCAGACTTGATACCCACTGCCAAACACACAATAAAATGGGGATACAGAGGAAGGATGCCCCAAATGTAATCCACCAAACATTTTCAGATTAGCATAAAGTTTACCACAATACACCCTCATCAAAGAAAAAGCTTTTTTTTTTTTTCTGAAAGGAAAGCCAGCGGTACTGTGCATTTCCTCTCATCAGCAAGCAAAGAGGATAAGAGGCATAAAGGGATCACAGTCAAGAAAGTGCTACAGACGGGAATCAAACTCCAGCCCACATGGGAGAATTATACGTATGTCTGAGAGTAAGTTACCCTACGGCTGCAGCGCACTTCTAATATTTATGTCACAAACTGATCAAAGACAACTTCCTCTCTCTCTCTGCTGTCTCCCGCTGTCGCTTCCTTTTGAAACACCAGTGTTTGTGCCCATATTCCTTTGCATGTGTAACCTACACTCATCAAACACTTAAGGACAACAAGAAACACGTATACTAGAAATACTCTGCAAGAATCTCAGGCAAGGTTGACTCAATAATGTGAAGGCATTCCTGCAAACACTTCCAAATAATCCTAAAGATGAATTATTGTTCTGGAACAATCTTGGGACCAATATCCTGGTGGAAATATCCAACTGAAAAGAAAAAAAAAGGTACACTGTGAATTTACATGGGAGAGCAAGAGTTTTTGCCTAGTTAAAATAAAACCGCACACTCTGTAATGTATGTAAATCCTAGATTCTAGAAGGATGGAAATTTTGAGATGCTGAAACCACTGTGTGATCGTACCATTAAAACACACAATTTCGAGTCAGGCAGGTCAGACTCAAACCTGATTTGAATATAAGACATATAAGAGGTTTAGATTAAAGCCAAATTTGAGTATATGACATCAGAATCGATCACATCATACGACCTTCATTAGCGGATCAGTTATCATGTGACCTAAATAATTTGGTGGAAAGTCTTACGTTGTATGCACTATACAGAGACGCTGTTGAAGTAATGGTTATGTAACAGAGGTTTCACAGAGACCCACAAATTGCCAAAACCATGCTCACTGGAATCCTCTCAGGCTTGTCTGCATGCTTTACCTTATGCTGATTATGTTTTTTATGTTTAACGAGCAAGCTGTCTGCAGACCCGACAGGTGCCCTGGACCTCATGAAGCTTCTACCTATCAAACTAGTTCAGTTCCTGTTCAATAACCACTCTCTCTCTCTCTCTCTTCTTCTCTCTCTCTTGTTTTCCCTCTCCCCCTGGTCCAGGCCTCAGTCGTACTGGCTGAGTCATTTCCAGTCTCTCCTGTATTGCTCAGAGAACAACCAGCTTGGCGCGTTCTCTGAGGAGCTTCACAGCTGCAGCTGCCGATACGAACACAGCCCCTGTCAGCTGCCTCCACCCTGCGCTGTTGGGGAAGGCTCGGCCTGCGCGGCGTGTGCACCCGACAACCACACCCGCTGTGGGAGCTGCAACCTGGGCTTCGCTCTGACGCAGGGGGCCTGCAGGCCCATGGTGGCTGACTCTACGGAGAACTACCTGGGATTCGAGACGGACCTCCAGGATTTGGAGCTGGGCTACCTGCTACAGAGAGCTGACCGTAGGCTAGAGGTATTTTTCTTTTAGCTTTTGTTCAGTCATGTGAGGCTGACTGAGAACAGAGCTGTCTTTCATGGCTGTAGCCTGGGGGGGATACATTTACACACAGGAGCCACAAACAAAGCCCTGCCCTTCTGGCAACTGAGGAACTTTATAGTTTCTCTATGTATTGGCCACGTTTTAGATGTTTAGACGTGCGCTGTTTACCAATGCCATCTGTGTGCTGTCTGTTTTTGTGTTAGGTCCACGCCATCTTCATCAGCAATGACATGCGACTCAACAGCTGGTTTGACCCATCGTGGAGAAAGAGGATGCTGCTGACGCTGAAGAGTAACAAGTACAAGTCCAACATGGTGCACATGCTGCTGGGAATATCCCTCCAGATCTGCCTTACAAAGAACAGCACTCTGGAACCTGTCCTTACTCTCTACATCAACCCCTTTGGAGGGAGCCATTCAGAGAGCTGGTACATCCCTGTCAATGAGAACAGTTTTCCAGACTGGCAGGCCACCAAGCTGGACCTACCCTTCGAATGCTATAACTGGACTCTGACATTGGGCAACAAATGGAAGACGTTCTTTGAAACCATTCATATCTACCTTCGGAGCAGGATAAAGACTCAAGATGGATTGAATGACAGTGTTTATTACGAGCCTTTAGAAGTGACAGATCCCGCCCGGAACCTGGGCTACATGAAGATCAACAGCATCCAGGTCTTTGGCTACAGTATGCACTTCGACCCGGAGGCGATCCGCGACTTGATTCTGCAGCTGGACTACCCATACACCCAAGGCTCCCAGGACACAGCCATGCTTCAACTCCTGGAGATACGAGACAGAGTGAACCGGCTGTCCCCTCCGGGTCAACAGAGGTTGGACCTGTTTGCCTGCCTCCTCCGACACCGACTCAAACTGACTGCCAGCGAGGTGGTTCGCATTCATGCCTCCTTACAGGCCTTCAGCTCCCGTCTGCCCAATTCGATGGATTACGAGACCACCAAGCTGTGCAGTTAACAGCCGCTTGATGGGAGATCTGGCCTCTAGATGGGCGCAAGGAGAACTCTTGGACAAGAGAATTGTGTCCATGGTGGCTTAAAGTTGTCCTCTGTCTCTATGGATTACCAAGGAGAGGACCAGCTCTGGACAGCTGAAGAATGTACTCATCTGGTTGTTTTGGTTTCTGTTATGTGGCCGACAAACTTCAGTGCTAAATTATAAAAAAAAATTTAAAAAAATTTAAAAATGAGGTGGATCAGCAAGAACATGCACAACAGTTTTCTCAAGAACAAACTCTTTAACAAAAGAATTCTGCAGTAGAAATTCAGATACCACTACATAAAGTTGAACCATCCTGTTTCAATATGATTCTGCTCATTTATACTGTAAGTACCAATGCCAGTATCAATGGACATTTTACAGTAAAACTGGTACAGTCTGTTTGTTTGTAATTTTTATATGTTCCTTTGCTTCAGTGACAGTGCACTTTCCATGAAGACCAGAATACAGTGGTGTCAGTAAAGATTTTGTAGATAAATTGATATTAAAACATCATGTTATAACAGATTCCAGCTGTTGGAACATTTTTCCTGATACTAGTTTTCTTATTTGTTTTGAAAAATACTCTTAAAGCATTTTGACAAATTAGTCAGGCTAAATGAACTGGATCCAAGTGATTGTAATAGTCATGTAGTTCTCTTCAGAATTTTTTTTTTTTTTTTCCTGCAATTACCTCGATGCGTCTTAACATTTTCTGATCACTTCAGTTAACAGAAGTTCACCCAGGAAATTTTCTTAGGAGCACAAATAACCCAAAACTCAAAGGGAAGAAAAACATACTGCACACTCTCACACTAGCAGCCTCAAACAAACAGTTTAAAAGTTTTTTCAAGCATTATGGTTTTCTCTTTCTGTAGTGTGTTGTAAAAAACATCACACCTCTACTAGATGTGTTTTTTAGCCCAGTGGTTCTCAACCTTTTCAAGTAACGACCCCCAAGAGTAATCAAGCTGGTGTTTGTGACCCCGTTGATGGTTGCTGCTGTCGGACTTTCAGGTATTTCACTTTCAGTCTTGAGCTGATATGTTTTTTCTGAGAAGCCATTGCTCTGTAATCATTCCAAAACTAACAACTGGCTACAGCTAAGCACAAGACTGTGGCACGAAAGCTATAAATGTATTGTTATTTTGTGTGTGTGTGTGTGTGTGTGTGTGTGTGTGTGTGTGTGTGTGTGTGCAAAATCTGTTCAAAGGGAAATTACATCATGGATAGAAGTGATGTTTTGTAAAAACTGTTCCCCATTCTAGGGTTAGGGTGTTGGGACCCCGAGGTTGAGAGCCACTATTTTAGCCCACTCTTTCCAGGTTTCTGTTTGGTGTAACACATAGGTTGCATTTCTACCACTTCAGCTGGCTACAGCAGCTGTGTTGTAGCTTGTGCCTCACTCACCCTTTAGCCTACATACATTAACTGCGACCTGAAGCCTTTCGTCAACACTCTAGCTTATCGCTAACACCAACAGATATGCCTGTGTATCGGGCTGTGAGGTCTTGAGTGCACAGCAGCGTTGCTTAGACACTGACAGAGGACAGCGTCTGCTGCTGTTGTGGTGCTGACGTGCTGCTTCTGCTGCGTGGCAAGTTTGGACAAGGTGATGGCAGAAATGCCAATTAAGCACAGGCAAAACCCAGCACTTTCTGTCCATCTCAAGTGTAGCAGCAGCTCGACAAACTATTGTTAAACTGTGCTTTTAAGGCAGTTTGTGTGTGTGTGTATCAGTGATGCCAAGGTACTCTGCAGAAGACAAAGCAAACAAGCTTTATTTTAAACATCAGACGCCATCTTGTATGAACAGTATGTTGTTTTGGTTTCTCTAATATCTAAACCTGAACACAATCTTTTCCTAAATCGTTTTTAGTTGTGCAACCTTAACGATACTCTGACTATAGGATACCATGACTGCCAGATCTACAAGTTTGCTTGCCAAGTCCCAAATCTTACTGTAACTTTAAGTAGAGGTTTAACCTTCGCCATACTGTAGCTGCTATGCACCCATATTTCAGGGATAATCAATAGCAGAGGTGCATTAAAACACTTTGAAATATTTAGCTTGAAATCCCCAGAACAATCCCATAATGCAGTGCACAGACACACCATCATTCAATCTTGTCAATTCAATAAGGTTTTCCCATTTATTTTATCCTTAATGTTCCTCTCCAGATATGTTTTAAACAGCATGCCAGAAGCACATCTACGCTTACTTCCTTATTGTGAAATTCTGGATCAGGACCTTGTGCCCGGCCCACCACCGCTGCTTGTGCTAGGTTGACATGAAAGAGCAGAGAGCATCAAGATGGTTAGAGGAGGAAACATCAGAGAGACTCAGCCACATGTTTGAGCCTCAGTCAGACCCAGACTCAGATGAGGAGTCTGTTGAGACCAGAATCAGAGACTAGCGGACGTATCAGAGCGGTTCGCGTAGTTAGCATCTTTTGTCCATGTTGTTTGTTTAGCTTGTAACTGGAAGTGGCTGACACAGTGTAAGCAGCTGTGCTAATGCAAACTCTTGCTCTCTGGTTTATCTAGCTCTGCCCCCCAAGCCCCACAATTTGACAGGATTGGTTCCTTAGATTTGTGCTGTAACAATCTCTGGCTGTCTGAATCTGTTTTTTTATGAGACTGCCTATGGTTCACTGCAGTTCCAAGGAGGAAATACACAGTCATGGCATTGACTGCTTGCTCATGATATGTCAAAAACACCATGTTAACAAGGTTAAAAGGTTGATTTTCATCAGAGGGGGTCTGTAAATTAATTATACTAATGATTATTGATATTAAACCGACAGACATATCGACTTTTAATTCAGTGAATAATCGAACACTGTTGTGTACAGCTCCTGTCTGTATTGTTAATGCCAGGTATAAGATGCCACTTCTAATCTGTTAACATACACGTGCCTTAGTGACACTGCAGGACAAAGGTCAATTCTAGCACCTGTGAAGGTTAACAGTCATCCCCTCAATTTGTCTGCTCCTCTTGTCGACTCTAACTCGTGTCAAAAGCTGTGCTGTACGCCGGCCGGTACATGGATGAGTACTGTCTGATGAGATGTGTGAGTGGTGGAATGTGTTATCAAATGTCAGCATGTCTTTTCCTGGACACAGTCATGTCAATTACGTGGAGGAAATGAGTGCTTCACCGCAGCATGAAAAGAGCAGCTCTGACAGAATGAGAGACAGCGCCTCCAGTTGTGTTTGTGAGTCTATGGTGACTTTGCTTCAACTTTGAGGTCACTAAATTCCTGAAAATGGTCTCTCACAGTGAGACGGCAAACCCTTAAGTAGTCAAACCCTTTTTATAACCCAGTGCACAGGAGGGAAAGGGATCACAAAACAGGAAACTGCAGGGGCAAAGCACTAATACATTTCACCAAAAAATGAATTAAATATCCTCAGTCTGAGTAATTAGGGATATGGATGGTGTTTTTCAAAGAAAAAAGGAGGTGGAGGACTGAAAAATAATTCTCCCCTTCCACAGTACGTGTTTCTACTCGAGCAAAATAAAAAGATCCCAAGGTAATATACCCGTAATTATGATGTTTAACAGCACTCTGCTCATTGTGCAATTACCAGACCAGTTCTAAAAACCTGTCCTGCAGAGGCAGCTAGTCATAATTCATTACCGTGAGCTTGTAAATAGCTCAGGTTTTTATTCCGCCAGAAACGCCGGAGCAGCCTCTCTTACAACAGTGGGAGGGGTGGCAAGAGGCGAGTTTTGATTAGAGAGGCTCTGACCTTTTAGTAGTCTGTCAGTCAAAGGTATGAGAGGCAGGAAAAGCCCATCTGATTCACTGTAAATCTGCTTGATTAAATTCTCTGTTTGTGATTTAGTGACCATGATTTCTCTTACTGTGGTTTTTCCATTCTGCTTGACAGAACCTGAAGGAGAATAATACCAAAAGGCAGAATATTCGTACTGACAATAAACTTGGATGGCTTAAATCAACGTACAGGAAAATGAACAGTTCTCATTCTAAGCTGGGAAGCAGATAGTCAGACAAGTTCATTTGTGCAGTTCATACAGTGGGCTACAATAAAACATAGAGAAAAAGCAAATAAAGTAGCATCTGTTTGAATTAAAAGTAACTGCAAACAGATGTGTTCAAAGCATCTTTAGCTTGTACATACTTGATTAGGACAATGACAGAGAGACCATCTCCCCTCAGAGGTCTGCTGTGTTGGTATTTCTTCTTTTCTTATTTTAAAATCAATTTTTTGACAGACTGAAACCAAGACAGAGTTCTGAGAACTGAGTGATGTGACCTTGGTCAGAGACACAGACACATTCAGAATGTGCCATTGCTGTCTTAGTCTTTTTTATGTTGTTGTTTTTTTGTACAAAGACCTGAGGAAAAAGTCATTACTAGAGAAAAGGGTGTGGATTAGTTTTTAAGAAACATGTTCAGACATGAACTGTCTGATTCTTGGTATGTATTGAAGTGGTAATAAGCAGACTTTGTTATTGTATTGATTTAATTTCAGGTTCAAGTTTAGGTCTGTATCCATAACAACACTGGGTATCTCTTTTCATCTAAACAGAGAGCTAAGATGAGTAACTTAGAGGTTTGTATCTTTGCCACCAAATAAAAATAATTTAGTTATTATCCTTAAATGGAACCATGAAATAAGAAACATATTTCCTGAGTTAGGTGACCACAGGAAGGTCTATGTATTTCCAGTGCAATTCAGTGAAACCCTTGGACTCCAGGATGTAGTACTGATTGAGAGTGATATGAAGACAGCATGAATAGAAAAGACATCATTTGGTAATATATAGTCAATATGTAAATGTGAAGGCGTATATAAAAAAACATCTTAAAACAGGAAACAAATGCTGTTCAAAATATGTATATACTGTAGACTCCCTTACACAAATGTAATATATGTACATGTAATGAATTTCCATATATGAAATATATAAGTATACGTACATAGGACGTGAAATCATATGTACGTATATGTATATATATGTATCTAAAAATTACTTACGGAACCTGTCAGAAATCGGAACAATGTTAGCTAATACAAACATGTACAGTATGTTTATGTACTGTATGTATGCTTATATTGTAGACATATGTTACGCAAATATTTTTCTCACAAAGCTTGTCACTATATGTTGATATAATATATGTAAATATAAAACATAGACATATATATATTTTTTAGAATTAATAAGAATCATATATAATCGTATAGAAAGTTGGTTATTTTGATAAACTTGCATTTTACTTTGAGTATTTCATATATTTTATAAACATATACCTTCATATATCCAGAGGATGTATATATGTGATAAAAATCTCCTTATAGGTGACATATATAGCAACAACACCACTGATACAGGGGCATAAATGTCACATATAACATTTCTGTATGGGCTACTACCCTGTGCTATTTGTGTTGGCTCAAGTGACGTCTAGCTGAGTCAGGTTGCGTCTGCTCTC